CAATCACCGGCGCACTTATCACTACTTATCTAACAATAATCCCGTAAAACATTATTGTTTAAAATATGTTCTTCTACCAGTAAACGCACTAAATTTTTAATTTACCATTCTGAACAAAATAAATAAACTATACTAGTCGTTTTCTTTTGACTAACTAAAAGTCTGTTCTGAGCTAAGTTGAAAAAAGAACGCGAATTTTAGTTGACAGGCGACGACGTGTCTCATGTGATCCGTTTAAAAACAATCAACATTTTTATCAAATTTTATAAATTCTTCAACATTCAACACTACGATCTTGCCCCTGTTATCATAGTCTTTTAATTTCTCTAAAATAATCTTAAATAATGAATTCATAGGATATGTTTGTTCGTATGATGCATAGAACACTCACTTTCTGTTATGATTTATGATTGACGTCAAAATCCGTGTAGGTACCTTAGCATCGGTTAAGGGGAAGAACGCATACTTTGATAAAAAAATCGAAGTATGTGGGGAAGAAAGATTCTGACTTACAATCACAAAAAGAACTAAGCTTGGTAGATGTAAGTTAGCTCAGGACAGGGATTCTTATGTTTGTACTCAACAGGTAACGAATTGAATAGAGAGAGAGAGACATTACATACGAATCGCATTCTGTGGAACGAAGATAGTCGTCTCAACACGTGCCGAATTGAAAGTTGAGAATCCCAATGCAGATTAGTCGTATAAAGAAAACCACTACTGACTTATTAAACGAAATGAGGACTAGCATTACAATATCATGAGTCATATTCGTAAAAAACAGATAAACATATACCTTCTTTTTAATTCGTTTAATTTTTCGAACACATATTCAGGCCCGGTTTTAAATTTATTAATTCTTTATTTTTGTTATTGTCGTAGGGCTAACTTAGATTCCTTTTTCTTTTAAATCTTCGCTACCCACGAAAGCGCTCCTTCCTGTTGCAAGGAGGCGGTGGACTGTATATTTGTAGAAACTTGTAGAATGTAGAATTTTAGTGATGAACTGCAGGATAATAACTTGCTTTGGAATATAGTTTAAAAATGAAAAAACTAGAAATATTTATATTTTCTAACGCTGTTTTCGAATTTTCTTTTTATATCGTATTATAATAAACACGTAAAAATTGACAAAAAAATCAAAAATTATTTTTCATTTACCTAAAAAAAAAAACGAAAATACAAATGAAAATATTGTTGCCAATGTGTTTTTTAAAAAAAAAAAAAAAAAAAAAAAAAAAAAACATCCAGGATGGAGATTTAACAGTGTGTTTTTAATGTCAAACGTCGACTACTTTTCGTTGTAACTTTTCACTACTCTTCAGGACATGTTCGTCGGACTAGTACAAAAATTACTTTTCATGAAAAGTCCCATCTCTATTAAAAAGTACCCAATACGGTCCTATAAATAATGTGTTCAAAGTAAACCGTTGTTCATTTTTAAGCACTTTGATGCATGCGCATAAATAAGCAACATATTATTGTCAATTTCATTGTTTTCTTATAAACGTTAACGATTATTTAATTTAAAAAGAGAATTTATACCACATTCACTTTATCGATGTTCTCACTGCTATGACTCGACTTCGACTGACTGACTTCCTGTGCGTCCCAGCCCATTTATATATAAATTGGTGTATGCCCTAGATTATTCTCGTTCTCACCATTTATTAAACAGGCGTGTCCGGCAATTTCTCGAATTTACTTCTAGGACATTTTCAAATGAACGATTCGTACCGGCTATCTGTAAGCATACGCGTCGCTATATTTGGGTAAAGGGGGTTCATCCCCTTCATTGAATAATACTGGTTTTAAGGATAAGTGGGGTCGTAAAAAGCTCCTAACATGGCAAAGGGACCCAAAAGATCAGAGAATGACCAGATTGGTTAGAAATGGCTTACATTAGATAAACATTCTACTGAACAGTAGACACCCGAGTAAATTACATTGACCGGTAGGCGTGTGATTCTCGATATATAAAAACAACAAAAGATATAACGATAAAAAAATAACATCTTAAATTTCGATACACAAATCCAGGCCCTGATTTAAATTTTTAATTTTATCTTTTTTATTTTTGAGTTATTTGAAAAATATGTTTATTTTATCAACTTCACTACACAGTTAAAAAAACTATCAACTTAGTCCAGTAAATGAAGGAAAAAAGCTGCAGATAATTCCTACAATTTTCTTATGGGGTGGGATTTGTAGGTCTGTTAGCGTACTTTCAAATGCCAAATTGGCCTGGAGCTGAACCCGACCTCTGTAGGGGAAAATGGGCCCCCGAAGGCCCATTTTGAGGTTTTCCGCTGTTATCTTCCAAAATATACAATTTAGAGATTTTTTGTTCAGATAAGACATGAAGATCATCTGAATTCCTAAAAAAATGGTCCTTATGTTTTTTTCGCCAGACTGGTATTTTTCGCGCAAACGGAGGAACAAATGTGAGCGTTTTTTCGTCTCCCGCCAAGTATACAGGAGCGTGCTTTCTATGGTTTGGATGACGCGCCTTGGAATAAAATTTCCAATAACTTGGTCAAAAAATTAATATTTTCTTACAATTCTGGGCTCATCTTAAAGACGAAACCCAGACCTACAAAAACCTGTGCATTGGGCCTGTTTTTGAATTGAGCCTCTGGTGAAAAGAGGGGCTAAAGTTTGGTTCCCTATTGATTTTTCACGAGAATCAGATATTTGGCCAGTTTAAAGAAAAAACAAAATATTTTATTGTTGTTTTTTGCTGTAATGGGGCTCCGGAAGGTGTTTAACCATCCCTGCAAGTTTGGTTCAATATTTTTCAATATAGAGTGCATGTGCACGGCATCGATTTTCGGTCATTTTCAGAGTTCCGGAAACTCTGTCCAAAAAACGCGAATTGCATCGATTCAACAGGGCCAATCCCTTTACTAGGTACATCATTTTAAAGGTCTGAATATCTTCTACTTGCCTGCATATTTTGTTTTTTTACTTAAACAAACCTGTTTCGTTTAGATCACAAAAATTGGTCACTAACGTGAAAATCAGACATTTTTTTTCGAATAATTTTTCTTTTTCCTCTTTATTTTCTGGGGATTAATGCTTGTTTGTACCAAAGTAAAGGGGATATTCTGACCTAATGATTGATATATGTCATTAATACCAATGTATCCCTATATTTAATCTCCTTTAATATAAAAACGTGCTTCCAAAGCGTTCGTTCTGGATGTTTCATCAAATTTTTTCCATTGCGGCATTTTGTGTGCACTGTGCGTGCGCCGAAGCACCATGATGGTATATAGTGTCATAATATACAAACGTCTGCTCGACTCGTGGTGCACGTTGCTTTGTTTTGTTATTATTTTCCTTGTAAAAATTTGGTGTTTATACAGAAAGATTACTATATATTTATCGAAAATTGTTGTCTCGTTAGTACTAAAAGAGGCAAAAAATAAGGAGTATGAAGTTCTCTTCACAGTATTTTTCCTTGCAATCTAATTGTTGAACGTTGTTTTTTGGAGCATAGGGTAAGCTATTGTTTGTTTTCTCCAAGTTTATGGATTTGATTGTTGTGACAATTTTATTTACAAAAAAATTTTTCTTATAGAAAGATGGAAACGGATTCTGGAATTGAAACGGTATGTTTCATATGTAATGAAACCATCGTGTACGATGGCGTCATTGTAACTCGTAACTTGTAATTTTTCAATAATAAATAAAGTTTCTGAAAGACACAATTCAAAAAATTTTCTCCTGGTTTCTTGCAAAAAAAAATGCGAAAAATTCGCAAAAAATGGCAATGACCCCACAGGCAGACTGTGCACCAACCTCTAAATCTTGTTAATGCCTTAGCAAAAGACGGGATACTTGGAAAATGCGCCACAAGAAAAAGTTGATTTTTGGAAATTTGCGATAAATTCGCACCTCTCACCCTTTGTGGGATAGTCCTTCAAGTGCGCGAATGAAGTACAGGCTACTGAGAAGGTAATTTGGTAAAAAAAAAGAGATGTTATGACTCAATAGTTCTAGGAGCATCTATAATCCCGGGATCGCTATTTGTGGATCTTATAATTTCGCGAATGGCGTGAATATGCTGGCGGCATCTACAGGTCTTCTTCATAGTCCAAACAACTGAGATCCGTCTATTTCGAAGACAACTGGGCTGAAATTCGATGAGAAACTGACACATTTCATGGGTCTAAAAATATCAATCTGGCGAAAAAACTAATAAGAACCATTTTTGTAGGAATTCAGATGATCTTCATTTCTTATCTGAACAAAAAATCTCTAAATTGCATATTTTGGAAGGTAATAGCGGAAAACCTCTTTTCAGGACCTTTATGCCCCATTTTCCCCTACAGAGGTCTGGTTCAGCTCCAGGCCAATTGGGCATTTGAAAGTACGCTAACAGACCTACAAATCCCACCCAATAAGAAAATTGTAGGAATTATCTGCAGCTTTTGTGCTTTTTGAGCCTTCATTTACTGGACTAACTTAGAATTCACCATGTATAATTTTCGTTTTGAATATTCAAATGACTTTTTTTGAGCGAAAAATTGATTTAGAAGTGATTTCGGGATTTTCGTGATGATTTCGAGACAATGTGTCGCGATTTCAGGTGAAAACGTACCAGTATTTCTGGAATGGTTCGTTCCTCGGCATTTTGTCTCATGAGATTTTTTTTTACTTTTCACAAAATATAATTACGTGATTTTAAAATTTATAACACGTTTAGAAAACAAACTTTCTTTGAACTAGTCTATAAAATCGAAAATGTTCCTTGCTTTCGTTCTAATCTTCTTAAAGATCAGGGACGGCGGGACCAGCATTTCATTAAAATTAATGAGTTGCAGTTGCCGTTTCAAAATAAAATATTGCCAGAGATGGGCGTCTAAGGGGGTTGGTTTTGGCACAGCGGCCTTGTAGTTTTTGTCCCACTCAATTCAATTCGTGTATTCGGCTTCCACTATCAATTCGAAAATTAAAAAATGCAAATTTGGATTTTGGAAAGTTTTATTTAATAAATTAACTCTATAATAAAATGTATAACAACACAATTTATTAACAATGTACTAAATATTGCACTTGTTAAGTATCTTACTGGAAAGCAATGTAGGAACGATTAGAACCAGTTCGAAAAGTAGCCCTTCTTTCCTGGAGATTTCGGCGATTTTGGTGTATCAGGTGGAGTGTTACCCAACGGTAAACAGTTGTTTGTATCTACACTAAGTCCACCCAGGTTACTTCCTAAAAAAAAGGTAATACTTAGTCCACTGGAATTAGACAAAAAATTACCATGAAATGAAAATTAAAATTTTATTGATTTCTATTGGTTTTTATTAATTTTTATTGTTTTTTATTGTTTGTTTTTTTTTATGTATTTTTATTGATTTGATTTTTATCGATATTCATCGATACTTATCGATTTTTATTAATTTTTATTGATTTTATTGATTTTTATTGATTTTTATTGATTTTTATTGATTTTTATTGATTTTTATTGATTTTTATTGATTTTTATTGATTTTTATTGATTTTTATTGATTGATTTTTATTGATTTTTCTTGCTTTTTATTGATTTTTAATTGTTATCGATTTTTATTGATTTGTACTGATTTTTCTTTATTTTTATTGATTTTTCTTTATTTTCATTGATTTTTATTGATTCTTAATGATTTTTATTGGTTTTTATTGCCTTTTATTGATTTTTATTGGTTCTTATTGATTTTAATGGTTTTTATTATTTAGTTCTTCACAGATTCTTTATCTTTATTGCTCTTTATTGATTGTTACTGATTTTTATTGGTTCTTATTGATTTTTAATGGTGTTTATGGTTTTTATTGATTATTTAGTTTTTCACAGATTCTTTATCTTTATTGTTCTTTATTAATTGTTACTGATTTTTATTGATTTGAATTTTATTGATTTTTATTGGTTTTTATTGATTTTTATTGATTTTTATTGATTTTTATTGATTTTTGTTGATTTTTATTGATTTTTATTGATTTTTATTGATTTTTATTGATTTTTATTGATTTTTATTGATTTTATTGATTTTTTTTTATTTTTATTGATTTTTATTGAATTTTATTGATTTTTATTGATTTTTATAGATTTTTATTGTTTTTTATTTTGATTTTTATTGGTTTTTATTGATTTGATCGATTTTATCGATTTTTATCCATTTTTATTGATTTTTTATTTTTATTGATTTTTTTATTTTTATTGGTTTTAATTTATTTTTATTAATTTTTATTAATGATTTTTATTAATATTTTTAATAAATATTTTTAATAAATAAGTTTTTATTCATTTTTAATCATTTTACCAATTTTGATTCAAGAAAATTCTATCAGCAGATAGGACTGAGATGAAACATAATATACAAAATATTTACAAGTAGTGGTCCACAAAAAAATGTTTCTACTTTCTACTGTAGGCCTTGGAAAAATTTACACATGTCGTATCGTTCAATTCTTCTTTTTAGGTGTCATTTTGGTTTTAATTTACAGCCATGACATGACACGTCTGTCTTTGTCGATTATGGCTTACTTTAGAAACATTTTTTATGGATCACTCTTTATTATTTATCTAAAATCTAGAAAAACAATTAAGAATATAATCATTTCATTCAATTTTTAATACCTGATGGTGGAGTCTTCAACCGAATAAGTGAATTTGTTTCACTTTGTAACTGAGATTCGTATTTTCTAACATCTTCCATCGTCATTTCTATCCAGTCATCTATCCAAGCGAAAGCTTGTCTGTGACCTAATAAAAGAACCTCCCGTATGCACTGCAACAAAAATTTGTTATTAATTGGCAAAACAAAGTTTTCTTTATAAACCTTTTATGGATAAATGAATTAAAATGTTTAAAATAAACTATTTGAGGCGCTGTTCTCCACATCTCAGCAAATGGGCTAAAATAATAATTTACAATACTCTAATATTACCTTATTGTATCACTATATTGTATTTGTTCAACCAGAATGGGTTGCAACGATTGTAAAAGTTGCAGTATAGAGGTATGAGAATAATACTGAGCTGTTCGAGATTGGAACCAATCAATTCCAAGTTTAATGTGCTTCAGTGGTTGCCTGTTAGAAAATATTTGCTATTCTATTCCCTGCTATTTATATTTAAGATTAAATCAGGAATCTCCCCAGTATATTTACAAAATATTTTAAGTTATAATCAGGAAATTTTTAGAGTTTATAGGGTCACGAAAAAATGTACCCAAAATTCAGTGTTTTTTAAAGGTGTACAAGCTTTTAATTTGCCTGAAGATATTAAATGTTCTTCAAACGCAGCAATATTTAAAAGAAAACTGCATGAGTACTTGCTGACCAATTGACGTTTTTTTTTTAACTATATCTTATGTATTTTTTATTGTATTTTAAATGTATGTTGATTCTAAACTTACGTATTTTTTATATTTTAAATGTGAAAATGTATTGACATGTAAAAAATAGTTTTTTTTTACTAAATAAACGATTTATATATATTTACCGAATGTATAAACTCCTCAACTTTAGTCTGAAATCCGAAAACTTCGAAAGAAGCATGTACTAATTTGTAGGAACACATTATAGGCTGACAGTTACTTCTCCATCCGTCCACTAGAGGCCCTCGGTGAGTTTTTTTCGATTGGTAAAACCTCGGATCTTCCTCTTCTTTGTAATGTTTAGCAGAAACTTCGTCGTAGGCTATATCGATATGGTCCACGACTCTTTCCGCTAACTGTTCTGCTGATAAACCAAGACACTGTTGGCAATTTAATTAAAACAGTGTAAGCAAATATAGGTTTTCGGGAAATTGAACTAAAAAAAAACTTGTCTAAAACATTTAGTTTAATGTTTAATCTCAATTGATCTAAATTAATTTACAACATTATAAAATAATAAGAATTATATCTAAAATTTTTATTAAAAAAAAAAGGTATAATAGGATTTGTTGCGTCTATAAAAGTATATACCGTATTTTTCGGACTATAAGAAGCAGCGGACGTTAAGAAGCTCCTCAAATTTTAAACACTGCTTCATCAAACTACCAAAACATGCAGTAATATATTTGATCAGATTTATACAAATTACAAAGACACTGTAACTTTAAACACAGACTCCGATCATGACAATTTCCTGTTAAAATGCAGTAAGTTAAAACTCGATACCAATCCTAGCTCGTATCAAAGTAGAATAATTGGAAAGACTACTATAACGTCTTAATAACATACCTATCCAAAGAAAACGGGAATGGGATGTAATAAACTTGGCCGAGGGTTGACAATAAAGTCACACAGATTAAATATCCACTCAGGATTATTTAAATAAATCAGGATTTACTTTAGAACAGCGTTGGGTTTTTAGTAGCAACAGTTTGTACTGAAATTCAGATCGTGATTGTACTAGAACGTACTAGATTTGGCTATAAATTTCAAATGAGAACACAAACTCATTTTAAACCAAAAAATAAATAAAATGGGTATAACAAAAATATATTTTTACGTTGGTAAATAAAAAATTTAAAAAGAAACCAAAATAAACTTTATTTTAAACAAAAAAATATAAATTAAAATACGTAAAACAAAAATATATTTTTATATGGTTAAATAATAAAATTTAAAAATAAAAACAAACACTTATTTTTTATAGAAAAACAAATAAAATAAGGGTAAAAATTTACCGTAATTAACAATGTTTAAATTTATTTACCAGAACATGAAAGTGTAGTCGATATTTATCAGGTTTTTAAATTTCCCGCTGGGTTATTTGTTTGATATCGATGATAGCGACACATAGTGGGCCAGATGTTAACTGCGTTCGAGCTGGTGGTTGTTAAGCATATGCTTAGGAGCGTATGTTATATTTATGTCCCTTATATGAAGACTCATACTCCCTTATCTCTTATCCCTTATTTTCAAAGTATGGGAGCACTCAATTCTCTCAAGATTCTCATCAGAAATGTCGTACGTCAATGTGAAAACGCTGTTTTTAAAGGCCTTGAAATTCTTACGAGAATTTTTATTCCCTCTAAATAAACCGAGAGAAACCATCTGTGAGTTCACACTGTCCCCAAGGGCCCTAAAAATACTGTTTTACGTTGACATATGACATTTCTCTTGAGAGGAATGAATTTTCTCGAGTTTGAAAATAGCCTCTCAGGATACCTATTCTCTAACTCATGGGAGCACTCCCACACTCCCATGCCAAGTCGACAGAATAACTTTGATCTACTATTTAAGGACCGATCCACCGTTGTGTTAAACGAAGTTTAAAATGACATTTTTACATTAACAATGTCATTTTAATCTCCGTTTAACTCAACGGTGGAATCGGCCCTTAGTAGTTCAAATTTGTTTTGTGATAAATACGGACCTAATCTGGCAAGCCCGCAATTCTCCCTCCCATAGTATAAAATCTGACCTTACTACGCATGTACCTGGGCTAAAAGTGAGTAAGCACGATATACCCACCTAAGAGTAAGAGAGCAAAATATATGGGAGCACTCCCATGGGAGCGCTCCCATGACTTAGTGAATAGCTATCCCAATGAACTGGAGTGGGGTAGAATGCTTGTCAATAGGCTTGAGATGCGACTCTATGGGCAAAGACAGGTTATTTTTCATCTCACTCGGGAGTATTTATAACAACCATTTTCTATTTCACTTTGTTATTGTCTGATCCACCAGCATGGGGGATTGAACAATAACAATGTGAAACAGAAAATGGTTATTATAAATACTCCCGAGTGAGATGAGAAATAAAAATGGCTGCGCCCATAGAATCGCATCTTGTTTTATTGATACAATATGCACATTGGCTTTCTACCCCACTCCAGTTCATTGAGCTATCCTGGTATAAAGTATCGCATTGGGAGTGTCAGAAGTGTCTACTGTCTAGCATAGAAATTGGAAATCATAGAATACATTATTCTAGAAGATCCAGCGATATATTTAAAATGTACTAGATTTAGAGACTTTTGTCTTTTGTGGTACTAGCATTTATGAATGGTTGAAATGTACTGAATCTAGTACAATTGTACTAGTAAACCCAACACTGCTTTAGAATTACTTTTATTGTAATAGCAACACAGTGGGCTTCACACAGAACAATGAACAATAAAAATGTCAACTGTCATATATCATTATACAGTACCAACTTAAAATATTAAATATTAGTTAGGCATTTTATAGAGATTATAACAGGGATATAGGAAAATACTACTAACTCAAAATTCAATGTTTTTCATGATACTATAACATACTTTTTTAACACAAGTTGCCCTTTAAAACAAAAAATGCTTCTAGAATACCACCTCGTTATTGGGTAAATAAGGACGTAAAGGAGTCTTCTAATAAATTAAAAGATCTACATCAATTGAAGAAAAAATTTCCCGAACTCCATGAATGTTATCATCACGCTAAAATAAATCATAGAAAGCTTGTTCAAAACACGAAATCCGAATATTATAATAATAAAATTAAGGATTCGGCAAATAAAAATATAGCAACATGGAAAGTCATAAATAAACTACAACAACAATGACAAAACTATTGAAAACCCAACAACTATAGCTGATATGTTCAATCAGTTTTTACTTCGATTCCATATGAAACAATTAACAGAATCTCCACTCCAAAAACAAATCTTAAATATATTAACAATAAGTCACCTATAAAGAGCTTTTTTACTACTTATGTGTCTGAAGCAGATGTAAATACAGTCATAAAACAAAAACAAACCATCCAGCGGTTTTGATATCTCTGGAGACTTAATAAAGAAAATCGCTGACTATATTCTTACACCATTCCCATACAACACACCAAATCCCAGAGTTATCCACAGAATATCTTTTGTGGATATCCAATATATCTACAGGATATCAGAAATATTCCGTGGATCTAATATGGATATCCAAATGTCCGTCTATATCCAGAATATAGAAGATATCCTAATGGATATTCAGCAAAATATCTAATGGGTATCTTCCAGAAAATACAAGAAATCCCAGAGATATCCACAGAATATAATTTGTGGATATTCAATATATCCAATATTGATAACCAACCAAATGTCCGTCTATATCCCAGGATATAGAAGATATTCGGATATTCAGCAAAATATTTTATGGGTATCTTTAGTAGAGGTTGATAAGTAACCAATGATTATCGAATAACGTCGAAAGAAAATAGCAGAGATAAAAAATATTTTCAACACTCTGCCTTTGATTTTGCCCACTAAGGAGAAAGTCATCCTTATTAGCACTCTTCAGCAATAAATGGAAATTCTCGACTCCAGTCTCTAATGGAGTCTCTAGGACAAAAATTTCGATCGAACTCTATTACGGCGGGTCGAGCATGAGTAGATGCGATAGTGGTATCGCCATCTATACTTAGTAAGCAGAATCAAATAACATCTAGTGGATATCCACGATGGTTTGCGTTCGCGCCTAGACTTTGATATATTTAGTGGATGTTCATGGGATATTGAATACATCTTAAAAAAAATTAAATTTAAATATCTGAACGCGGTACTATTAGCCACAATGGCGTAATTTTTTAATAATTTGCTATATAATTACTATTATTTATGGACAGTTGCATGTCTATAAATTACATCTCATGGATATAACATATATATCTACCATGGACTGGACATTCAGTGGATATTGGGATGTTCAGTAGATATCCAAAGGATTTGGTGTGCTGTCTGGGTTGACTCATATAATTAATTATTCCCTGGAAGAAGGTATATTTCCCAAAAGATTAAAAACATCTATAGTGACGTCTATATTAAAAAGAGGTAACCCGCACGACATATCTAATTATCAACCTATCTCAAGGATTTCTACTTTTTCAAAAATATTCAAATACATAATGCTGGAGTAACTAATGCAATACCTTAAAAATCAGATTATATCTAATACAACCATTATCCCCTTTTATGAAAAAGTGCTCCAATCTTCTGTGATCTTAGAAGAGCCTTTGACTGTGCTCAGTATAATGTACCATTAAACTTCCCTCATCTGGAATTAGAGGCACTCAAAATAAATGGTTTGAAACATACCTTACAAATAGACCCCAAATGGTTAAAATTAACAACTCAGGAAAACAGTCATTTTCTCAAGAAGTAACAAATAATATAGAAGTGCCCCATGGGTCAGTGTTAGCTCCCATACTTTTCACAATTTATGTAAATGAACTTCCAGAACTACTTTACCATGCATTTACAATTCTCTATGCAGATGATTCGACTTTCTTGTTTACTGATTCCGTTGAAGAACAATTAAAAAATAAAGTAGATATGTCAATTAAAATATTTTCGGAATGGGCTAGTAATCTGTCATTATTATTTAATATTACAAAAACTAATTACATTTATTTCCACACATAACAAAATTCTAAAATACCTTGTCTAGATATATTATCTGTAAGCAACACACATATAAATACAGTTGACTCCACAAAATTTCTAGGAATAACATTTGATGAAAATTTGTCGTTTAAAACTCAGTGTCAAAATGTAGCGACAACCTTAAATTCAAAATGTTTTCAACTTCGTAACCTTAAATGCATTTTAAAACCTCACCATCTCAAATGTACTTTGCAAATGTACATTTGAGGTTGGTTTATGGTATTTGTGTCTGGGGAGGATCATACCATGCTAATGAAGTATTTATATCTCTGAAGAGAATTATAAGATTTTTGGCTGGTATTTTACCAACAGATTCTTGTCGCCCACTATTTAAAAAACTTAAAATCCTTACCCTATTCGGAGTATATATTTTAGAACTTTTAATGTACATACAGTATGGTTCAAATGAAAGGAATAAATTCATTATAATGGAAGTAGTTGGTTTGCGAAAAAATGCTGGGACAGGTCAATTTTGTTTGCTTAAAGCGCAATTTTTTAAATAGAATTCAATTTTCCCCCACTTCCCATTTTTGAGCAGTGACGTCATTGACAATTTTTTTAAACAGTAACCCCAATGTTTTTTCTTGATTTTGATAGATCTTGCAATTTCCTACTCGGAAACATAAATGAAATATGTTACATAACAATTTTTTTTGAATAAAAGTCATTTAAAGATCAGACACACAAATTTTATTTTATTTTGAGAACACAATAAATGAATAAAAGATAATTATTTGTCCGTCTATATCCTGGATATATTTTATATTTTTTTTGTTTAAAATTTATATATTTGGTACATATTAGGTTATATTTGGAAAACTAGTCATAGGATGTAATTTTACCAATAAGAATTTTGAACGAGTATATTGGATATCCACAAAAGATATTCTGTGGATATCTCTGGGATTTGGTGTGTTTTCTGGGTATTTATAATTATGACGTATCCAATAACATTATAATTGTTTAAATGGATTAATAAAGAATTGAATTGAATCTATTAGTGTTACCTTCAGACCATCAAACGCATCCAAAATTTAAGTCCATTTTTCTATGTCTTATAGTCCAAAAAATACGGTACATGGAATGTATTTTCTTTTTAAACTAATTAACTAATTTTATTTACTTACATTTTCTGTACAGCCATTGTTATCTTCATATTTGGTCTCAATTGATATGTTAAATCGAGGAATAAATGAACACTGAAAAAAATTAATTCATAAATTAAATTTTACCATAAATATATTGTTTTCCTTTCTGAGTACAGAATATTATTTTTTATTTGTTTTTCCTTTACATACATAAGTGATAAGAGTGATGTTTCAAGATAATTGCAATTTTACTTAGTTCAATTTCACAATGTACTTTACTAGCAGATATTTCTTACACTAAAACTAGACGACTATAAAATTTATTAAAAAACAATATAGCATGATTACAAAAAATTTATATATCTAAGGTGCCACTAGTTTCGATCCTTCATGACCACTATTAGGTCTAAACAAATAAAACAAGCCAAATTTGTTTTGTCGAACTGAAACCTTCTTACCTTAAATACTTTACAGATTTTAATAAACAAATTCACATATTTACAAAAAAAAAAACGAATTACCCATACAGCACACATTATTTCAGAAATATTTCAAACATATAACATTTCAAGCACAAGTTTCTGAAATATTTTAGTCAAATATTTCACTGCAAATGTTTCTGAAACATGGTATACATGTTACACAAAAGGTTACTAAACGGGTTACGTTGTAAAAGGCCAACAATTAATGAGGAATTTTTGATTTGTAAGAAGATGGGATTGTAGTTATTTTATTTTTATTTCATCATGTCCCTGTCCAGCCACCAGCTAGAAACGAGCCTATATTCTAAATAATAATAGATTTGAGTTGTTGGTTTTGACATTCATGTTTTGTTTAGACATGAGTATTGTTTTATTATAGTTAATTTAAAACAATATTAATAAAACTATTGTTAATCAAATAATTTGTATAAATCCTTTTTAGCCTTCCGGAACTGGCGCGCGGATTCTCAGTCCACAGCGCTTTTTATTTACAGCCAGAGATTCATATCGCGGTATCACCAGCAATTAGCCACCTTTTCGCCATAACAAATATAGAAGCACGTGTAATTTTTAGCAGAGAACGACTGTGCATCAGAATTTTTGTCTAGTGAACGTCGAAATCTGGAGACTTCATGGCTTTCGCCAGCGATTCGCTGGTGATACCGCCGAGATAAAACTTTGGCGAATCGCTGGCGATCGACTATGCTTATGGGTATTAGTGTCTGGGACATTTGACACCTACATGTTTGGAATGTCACAGTGAATAGTTTTATAATAAGTTAATATTTTTTTTTGTTTATATTACATAGATTTTGTTTTTAGTAGCTAGTTTTACGAATGTTAAACTTCTGCTGTATTTTTAATAATGCCAAAAATACATGTTCCTTTATGTTTTTATGTTGCAAAATTAATGTTGTTTAATTATTTTTGATGCTTTTAAATAAATAAACAAAAATAATTGCAAACTATTTTATAATTGGCTCAAATCTATTATGTGGACTCACAGTCCACCGCCATCGCCGGATCACAAAAATTTCACGCCAGTCCGGAAGGTTAATTACATATAATTTGTTTCAGATTAGTGCATTTAAAGGAATTGGTGGAAATGAAGCAATTTGTCCGCTTTGGGGCTGTGCCAGTAAAAATAATATCCAAGTTATTCAACGTTTCCAGGATAAAGTATTAAGGAACATCGTCGATGAATCCTGGTACTGCTGTAATACTGATCTTCATAGGGACATTAAAGACTGTTGAAAATACAGTACAAAAATTTGCCAGTAGTCACCAACAACGACTGCTCTAACATGGAAACCTTGAAGATTATCCAGCTCCTCAACAATGCCAATCTAATAAGAATACTCAAGAGAAACATGCCTTTTGAGTTAGTTCAGTGATGTTAAATTGAATTGAGTATTAGTGAGATTAAGTGTTATACGTTAAGTACAGTAGTATATAGTGAGTAGAATCTTAGTTTATGGAGTTTTTTCATCCCTAGATAAGTTAGGTAAAAATAAAATTGCTAATTGATCTTAATGATTAAAAATTCAAATTTTCATTTCAGAAATATTACTGTGAAATATTATATTTACAGGACATTTTTACGTTTCAGGCATATTTCAGGGATGGTTCGTAATATTTATACAAATGTGTCAATGTAAAAATTGATGAAATATTTCCAAAATGTATTTGTGCTGTGCCACTAGTTTCGATCCTTCATAACCATTATTAGGTCTATACAAATAAAACAAATCAAATATGTTTTGGCAAACTGAAACCTTCTTACCACAAAAAATAAATACTTTACAGATATTAATAAAAAAATTCACATAATAGAAGAAAAAAAAACGAATTATATAAATTTGCAAAAATAACTCAAAATCTGTGCTACATAAAATGCAATTATCAAAGGTATAAAAGGCATCACTAGTTTTTGTCCTTCGTGACCACCATTAGGTCTACAACAAATGAAACAAACCAAATATTTCTTGTATGCCTGATGATGATCGCTAGGAACCAAAACATTCTTACTCCTAAATTTGAACGTGCCTAGTTCAAGATATATTGTCTATAAACGTAAAAGATGAGAAATGATATAATAGGTATGCTGTCAAAAAAGTTTTGTAGAGGCTTCATTGAATAATAATAATTCTTTTTTCTAAGAATAATTTTTAACATTCCTTCTCTTTAATCTTATTTTCTGAATTTTTTGTAAATATGAATTGTTTACAGATGGATTTCAGCTTACTGTATTTTGCCTTGGGGCACAAATGTATTAGAACTTTTAATTTAGTATGGAAATTTTCATAGATAGAAAATCTGTCTAAGTCTGATTCCATAAAAGCCCTACATTTAAATAAATAATCACAAAATATTCAGTTTTATTTTTTAGTTACCATGTTGCTTCCAACAGTGACTGGCTAAGTTAAAAGTAACTATTTAAAAAATTTAATGACAAGCCATTTGCATTACCAACTAAAATGTATTTTTTATAAAGTACTTTTTGGACTTAATCCTGAAATCTGAAATAAACATCTATTCAATTTGTCTGGAATATTAAACATTTCTTAAACCTAAGGGTAGAAACAGTATAAAGACAAACCTATCAATGGAAAAGCTTTTACAACTATTTGAGAAAAATAAAAACAATGAAGCCAATATGGATCACTCTTAACAATAGGACGGTTAAGTTTATAACATTTAAATAAGTTTTTACTTCTACAAAATATATTTTGAAAATATAAATAAAACATACACTTTTTATTATATCCTCATTTCGAATTGAAATTTACACTTACCGTATATTCAGTTATGGTAAATGGATAAAAATTCCATGCTTTCTCAGTCACATAAAATATTTTTGGACATATAGATTGAATCCAATAAGGAAGGCGACTAAAACAAAGTAATAATACAAATGTATTGTTCCCATCCCATTCATAAATCATATTTCTTAAGAAAAAACATTAATAAGCTTAAGATTTATAAATAAAATGTTGAGAAACAATTCACCAAATGATTTATTGCTACTTATATATTCAAAATATACAATAAATGATTAATATATGAATATAATGAAAGCCAATGCATTTTAAAAAACACTAGTAAATGATTGTAATGACCTTACAAAGTACAATTAATCATATTGGTTGGATATATTTACGTTTTAAATATTATATGATGTATATATTATGTGTTATGAAATGGAATGAATGCATATTTTAAAGTATTGTTTTATGACAAACCTCGATAGATGAATCCTCTTCTCAGTAAACTGACCCTTACCATGTTTCTCATCAAAACATTCTCTGTTCTCAACAACTTCGACCCCTTCACCGTCCCCGGATTGTTCTAAACTATGCCTCGCTATCATATAAAGTTGCCCTATGTGGTACTAAAAGAGTTAAAAATAATATTAAAAAATAGCTACAAGAGTATTGATTTTGAAAAATTACCTCTTCCACTGTCATAGGCATGCAAATTCGATATTCTTTAGTTAGTACCATTTTTTTAAGTTAGTTTTAACTAACAGGAATGTATTTAAGTTTATTTATATACTTTTAAACTACAAATTCAAATATTTTGGTTAAATTTGATATTTTAAAGGTTATAAATGAATCTGACTTCTATCTGACAACTGACACATTTAAAATCACTAGGTTCTTTCGTTTGCTGTTGGTGCAGTGTACACCTGTGTAAATTGCACCAGTTGAACCACCCTATTTACCCTAATTTACTTCCTCCTTATTCCTTATACACATGTGTATAATTTACTTCTGCTAAATAGCTGGTGAAAAAAATATCCACCAATGGATACCACATCGCCGACAGGAATGCATAGTTATTTTACACCGGGTCAAACGAAAGGTTTAGTGTCCGTTGGTGTAGTTCATTCCTACACCAGTGGGACGAACGAAAGAACCTACTAAAAGAGTAATAACAGCTTAACCAACTTAGGGGTCTATTCTGTAAAAATTCCTTTATATTTAACGGCCTTTAAAAATATTGGCGGCCTTTAAAAGTATATTTGTATTCGTTAATTTATTTCTGTCATTATTTAAACAGATTTCTTTAAGATAGTACTCTAATGTATTTTAACGATCCGTTTAAATAATGACAGAAGTAAAGAAGAAAATATTTTTAAAGGCCGTTAAATATAAAGGAATTGTTACAGAATAGACCCCTTAGAAAGTAAAAACTAAACTGTTATATATTATGGTTATGATAAATTTTTATGTAGTTAAGACCAATTCCACCGTTGTGTTAAACGAAGTTTAAAATGACATTTTTACATTAAAAACGTCATTTTAATCTCCGTTGAACACAACGGTGGAATCGGTCCTTAGATACTCCCATCGACCTGAATATTGAGATCGATAGATACTCCATAGTGGTTAATTTTTTAATATCTAGATTATAGTAATTTTATAATTAAATTAGGAATCACGATACTGACGTTTGTAGTATGTATATCAGCTTCAATTGCAGGGATAATGATTATGTTGAACTGGAGGGGGGTAGAATGCCAATGTACATGTACTATTAGAACTAGGTGCGACTCTATGAGCGCAGCTGTTTTTATTTTTCATCTCACTTGGGACTATTTATAATAACCATTTTCTGTATCACGTTGTTATTGTTCAATCCACAAGCGGTGGATCAGACAATAACAATGTGAAATAGAAAATGGTTATTTTAAATACTCCCGAGTGAGATGAAAAATAACCTATCTTCGCCCATAGAGTCGCACATCAAGGGTCCTATGATTGAACGTTTATGTTATCCATAACGTACATGTTAGGTCGAATTTTAACAGTAACGAAGCAAGTTTGTATGATGGAAAACTGTTAAATTAGAACATAACAGAAGAAAAATAACAGTAATGTGTTGGAAACCGTTTTTCATCATACGAACTTGCCTAATTACTGTTAAAACTGAGCCTAACATGTACGTTACGGATAACGTAAACGTTCAATCATAGCACCCCAAGTCTTTTGACGTTACAGTTCAGTGAGTAGACAACTGTCTTTGGGATCGAATCTTTGGGTCTATGCGTAAAACAGTTGGTACTATTATACTATTGGTAGAACTGTGCTTGGTGCAAAAATAAAAACAGAAACCGTCAGTTGTCATTTTATGTTTGATAGTTTATATCTCTAAAAAGATCAAGAAAAAATATTAAATTAAATTCCTATTCTAATTAAAAAATGGGTAGGTCTAAAAAAAAATCAACAAATGAAGCACCACTCGGACTAAATAATGAAATGTATTTCAATCTGGAAATTGGTAAGCTTGAAACAATATAAGTACATATATCGACAGCCTCATAAGGGCATTTAAATTATTTTCATAATTTGGAAAAACGGTTGTCGACTCTTATATATTGGCATTTTAGGATGCAATGGAAACAATTCAAATAAATATTCTCTATTAGACTAAATAACCCTACTTATTGGGGTATAACCACTATTTTTTTTAGTTTTTTTGCCCATTTTTTCAGTTTTACCTGATTTTTTTTGGAAACTAACATAAATTGCATTTCAGATATGCAAGCTATAAGAGGTAAAAATCAAGAACTAGTGGAAACTGTAGCAAAGATTCAAAAGGAAAAAAGTCTATTACAAAAACAGATAAACTTATTACAAAAAGACTATTTTGCATTAAATTCAAAATATGTGGTAAGTAAAATTTACTTTAGCGGATATATAGATATGAACTGAAATGAATAAAAGTTTATTGAAATAAAAAATGATAGTACTGACTATATGAATCCTATATTGTTGAAAGGAGTCGAATTCCATTTTCTAATATTTTGAGTTATGGACAGAATTTTTCTTTCTCTCCATATCCGTATCGTTTGGTGTTAAAAGGATACAAATGCCTATGCTTTATGTGGGCATAAATACTACAAGACTGAAATTAGTGTAGAAAGGAGGTAAGAGGTAAGCAGAATAGTTTTTGAATTTTTCTCAGAACTTACAAAATATTGCTTGCCTCATTTCAACAATAAATGATTCATATATTGCTGTCTATGCCTAAAGGATAATTTACATTTTAATCTCTACAAAGTCCATATACCCTAGCTGTTCACTTTAATAACAAATTTGGCCAATCTCATTGTTATATGGCTAAAGAGAATAAAATATGAAAAACAAAAATGAGATTTGCCCTTTGGGCTTAGGATGGCAGAATAAGTGAACTGTGTTTTTGTTTTCAGAATTTAAAAAATTTACTTTCTACTGTGGATAGCACTGCAAACTTGTGTTTTCCGAAAGTTGCAGAAGTTGTAAATCAAGTAGCAAAGATTATACGTGTTTGTTCAGTGGGAGTTGCAATTAGCAACACAGGAGGTATGTATGGCACCACTTTTAATTTATAAACATTCTGAATATTAAATTAAGAGTAGCCCTAGGCTAAATCTTACCCTTAAGAGGCACATGTAAATATTAAAGTGCAAATACAAACATTTATTATTATTATAAATATGTCAACTATTTTTTCTTCATATATATTCTTTTTTCATCAGAAAATATTACTCTATAATCCAATTTTCATCTGTCTATGATTTGTATAGAAATATTTTATTCTCAGTAATACACACATATAAAAATGTTTACATAGTCTCAGTACTTAAACTTTTAAATAGTTCACATCCACATAGGGTTTTAAAAGATCATAAAAGTTGGCAATACTTCACAAATATACATGTTTCATTCTTACAAAATAATCTTTAATTTTAGACATACGTCCAGTAAAATATTTTTAATTTGCTATTTAAACTTATTTCCTGGTAGAATATAGATGGGGGGACTTGTTTATTCTAGTTCTTGTTTGGATTAGCTGATTTTTCCTTCTGATGATTCGAGTGATGTGAAAAATTTGAAATTGTTTTTTTTACAGTTAGCAGGTTTTCAAATACTATGTGTGAAAACAGGATCATTATGCTAAGTTTTTTAAATAGTAATGTACGTGGTTCATTATAGTTTACCCATAGAATAGAGTGAACTGCTGATTTTTATAATGAAGTAAAACTTGCATTTCTCCAAGTTAGAATTCCATGTTAGATTGGAATGAAATAAGCAGTTATTACTCTTTCTGTATTGACTATATTTAATATTCTACATAGAGAAAATTTAAATGTTGCTAACTTGTTGCATACGTTACTTAATGGGAATGCTCCATGTAAATTGTATGTCAAAATGTAATCCTACAAATTTAATGTTCATTGTTTTACTAGTTGTTTTGTTTAACCTAAAAACACATGTTTCAGTTTTGATGCGATTTAAAAATAATTTGTTGCTATCAAACCATTGTTTAGCTTCAGTTATAATCTTACAGTTTTTGATAACTATGTCAGATGTGTTATTGCAGTCATAGGAGAAATTTGTATTATCTGTGTACATGGTAGTTAGTAATTCGGCATTATTTGAATTCTGATATGAGAGAAAATCATTGGTGTGTATTGAAAATAATAGAGGGCCTAGATTAGATTTTTGTGGGAGACCTATTTTCATTATTAAAAGTTTACTAAGTTTATTTCTGTAATATACAATTTGTTGTTTGTTTTGTAAGAAGCAATAATCTTATTTGCAACACCTCATATGCCATATTTATTATCTAGTTTGTTGATTAACAATGTGTGACTTACAAAGTCAAATGCTCCAGATAGTTTAGTGAATATATCAACAAATTATGATTTATTTTTTATATTTTGTATGATGGCAGAGAATTGTACAAACATTATATGATAATTTTGTCTGTTAAAATTGTATTTAGTAATTCTGGGGATTTTCTAGAAATAGTCCCATTGAGACTTCTTAGATAAGTAATTGCAGGGTTCAGAGGACGATATATATCATGATATTTATACCTTGATATATATCCGATATATTAGATAATTTTATTTATTAAATTAAAAATGTTTTCCACCATTCTAAACATTCGAAAATATCTCAAGACGCCCCTGTTAGAAAAGTATAATAACTGTAGCGATTTAATCTTCTGTCACTCAAGCATCGCCGCGCCAACTTTGGGATTCCCAGCTTCACCTTGATTTGTTTTGATTTTGCTGTTTAAGTGTATGAACAGAGACAACTAATGAGACGGTTAACTCAATGCAATTTTGCTTTTCACCAAGAATTGACTGGGCGATTGGACTGTAAGATGAGGCCGATGGCGCTGGTATACCTTGTGCTTTAATAGTAGCCTTTTTCTTTATAAGCAACCAGTCAATTTAAAATTTTTCTTTAAAAAAAGAAGATTCGCGGGAAATTCAAATATGTAGATCCACTTTATCTATTATTTTTATGATTTTTTACTGATTTGATGCACTGGAAATGTGAATAAATATGTAATTCACATTTACTAGCACATCAAATCAGAAAATAAAAATAATTTTTTTTAGGCACACAAAATAAAAAGCATTAAAAAGGAAAATAAAATGAAGTATGATTTCAATAATAAGATATATTCTGTATTAAACAATAATAAACATTCACACCACAAAGGTTCTACAATAAAATTGGAATACTTACTTTACGGAAATTAAACAAAATCCCCGCGTGATCCGGGCATTGTTAGTTCCTTCGGGTTTGTAAACAAACTTAAAACTACCTAATATGAAAACACCAGGAAGAAAATGTCATTCACTGGGGAAAACAGTGAAAACACTAAACTAACAAATTTAAAAACGTAACTAATAATGAATGAAAAACAACCAAAAATGAATTTACAAGTTAAATTGTAAAATATATATAAGTAAAACGAAACGAGAATAAAACAACACCAAAGTCACCAAACATAGAAACCAAAAATAGGACTAGGCACGGGGTCGGATTCCGTGTAAATAGTTGGTAACAAGTTTGCTTGACCTCGACAGTAGCGCGCTAAGCGCTTACGGTTGAACTACACCTGTCAGTTTCAGTCGATAAAGTAGAACACTACTAATTGAAGCGGTTTAAAAATTGGCGGGCTTGATAATTTAGATATTTGAAGCAATTTAAAGTAGCATTTTTCTATTTGACAACTTTTACTTACGACTACTAAACAAACAATAAGTTTAGTGAATTTTTGTTGTAGGTAAATGTTGAAAAATGGAAAATGTCACTTGTTTTAACTGAAAAATAAAATTAGTTGAAAAATAAAACACATTTTTAACAAGTTTAATTTATTTAGAATTACCATGTAATTACATGTGTCTCATTATCTGCATATTTTGAACATAACAAGCACTATATCACACACTAAATTACTGAAAAATAAAAATATAATATTTTAAGATTTAATTGATCGTTTTTGTTTTAATAATTATTAGTTTATATTTTATTCAAGCCACTGGATTTTTTTTAATAAAATAATACGTCTTTTATTCAAATATAAACATTCACCAAATTAAACACTTAATCATTTCTTATAAAATGTATTAATACCCAAAAAGTTATTAACAATCGTTATTAATCAAAATTTAGAGAGCGTCGAACGTGTGCATATGAACCCACGTCGATCATAAGTGTCTTTTTTGATTTTTCGGTCTTCTACTCGCCGAGTGCGTATGTGTGTGTATCCAATATCCAAGATCCAAGTATCGCTTAGGCAGTGGCGGCGTCTTGAATATTGCACGAATCTAACACGGCCGGACTGACCAGTGTTTCGTTCTCGAAACTCCTATCATCGGACTTCGGCTCCTCTGCATCTATAATACATCAACAACTTAGTAATCTCAAATTAAATAAATGTAACTGCTTTTTATACTTTTAGCAGTTACCCATCATGGAAGTATGCTGATTCCATGCTACAAGGTATTGTTTCAACCTTGGAAAACGGTATAATTTCAACCTTGGAAAACGGTATAATTTCAACCTTGGGAAACGGTATAATTTCAACCTTGGGAAACGGTATAATTTCAACCTTGGGAAACGGTATAATTTCAACCTTGGGAAACGGTATACTTTCAACCTTGGGAAACGGTATACTTTCAACCTTGGGAAACGGTATACTTTCAACCTTGGGAAACGGTATACTTTCAACCTTGGGAAACGGTATACTTTCAACCTTGGGAAACGGTATAATTTCAACCTTGGGAAACGGTATAATTTCAACCTTGGGAAACGGTATAATTTCAACCTTGGGAAACGGTATAATTTTAACCTTGGGAAACGGTATACTTTCAACCTTGGGAAACGGTATAATTTCAACCTTGGGAAACGGTATAATTTCAACCTTGGGTAACGGTATAATTTCAACCTTGGGAAACGGTATACTTTCAACCTTGGGAAACGGTATACTTTCAACCTTGGGAAACGGTATAATTTCAACCTTGGGAAACGGTATAATTTCAACCTTGGGAAACGGTATACTTTCAACCTCGGGAAACGGTATAATTTCAACCTTGGGAAACGGTATAATTTCAACCTTGGGAAATACAGTTTATTAAGGACCATGGAAAGGAAAGGATTAACCTTGGAAAACATTTACTTTACTTTCAGTTTCAAAAAATTGAGTCTTGCAAATCAGCCACTAATGATAACCTGCTCGGCCAAAGCCTGACTTATTTAAAATTTTTCGGACGAAGTTTTTATCAACGCCTCTATTTTTCTCTACTCCAATCTACCATCTTCGGCGGAGATCTTTCATCCAAGAAAATCAATTTTTTTTTTTGTAAAAACATTTTCAAATAATTAGGAAAAACCATGCTTTTTCTAAAGCTACTAAAAGTTGCTTAAAATAAATCAAACCCTGTGAAACAATTTTGCTAAAAGTCGACATGGCAATAAAATTATTAATTAAATTAATTTCCATAGCACAGTTGTTTACTGCAGAAACAGAAAAACTAGTAAACCACAAATTGTAGTAATTTTTATTTTTATTTTAATAATCTGGCGTAATTCAACTCGATATTGTTCAAGTACTTTTTATTGATTTAAACTAATTCCAAAATCCACGGAAATTTTTAAAACACCCGGTAACTGTCGCTTTATAATACGTACCATACGCGTCATTATAATCGGTAACATAAATATTAAACGTGTACCTAGACTTAGCTGGCTTGCCTGTAATTTTAACATCTGTTCCGAACTTATATTTTGAAATAAACTGTCTGGAGTTATGCCCATAGAAATTTCCTGTAAATTAACCCGGGCTGTTCAATAAACCCATATCGGTTAATTAATGTTTATTTTCGTAGGCACACTCTTTCTCATAAAATAAAGTTTACGTTGCGTCTTTTGTCAATGGAATTCTTAACAAAACAAGAATCAATCGTGTGACCTGACTTTAAACAAAAGTTACTTTTATTACTTTTAAGAGAGTTATTTTTTGATATGGTTTCGTTCTGAGTTTGGTTAACTGACTT